CGACTCGACGGCACATAACAACAACAACAACAGTAGTTTAAGGGATTCACCCAGACCCTAAGGCGCCAGAAAATCTAGAATGCATAAGAATTTGAAAGCAGTGATCTACATTTTTTTCTTTTGATCAGTTCTTCTGTAGAATCTTTGATCAGAAAGTTCAGTGTTGGTAACCAGGCACCATCTAATTCTTCTTATCTCCTTACAAAGAAGACAGTTTGTGGAGTTAATTGGCCAGCCCTCCGTCCCATTTCCTCCTCATATGCTTGATTCTTCTTAATCTTTTGCGCTGTCAATTAGAGAGCAAGTTATATGTCTTCAATGTAGTTTGCAAGCTTTTAAGCCCCTAGGCTTGAGATCTTAAAACATGAAACTGTGCATACAACAGATACACTGATCACATTATCAGACCAGTTAAATGGGCTGTCCCTGGGGAACCATGACACTTAAGAAGCAGCCTCAGCAGATCTGTTTGCTGCCTTTTGATGTCATTCTCTATTTTGCATTAGTTAATAAACCCTATGAATGCACAGATGATTTATTTCTTATAGGAATTTGAAGCTATTACTCTAGAGCTAGAAGAGCTCAAGAGAGAACAAGCATCATATAAACAGCAGCTCGAAGCTGTAAATGAGGCTATCAAATCCTATGAAGATCAAATTGAAGTGATGGCAACTGAAGTGGCTAAAAATAAGGTAAGACTTACTTATCTTTTGGAAAATTATAAATATTCATCTGTTTCTAAAATGTGGACCTGAAAAAGACATTTGACTTTAGTACTTGTAATGTCTTCATTCTTCTTGGTAAAAGCTCGAGGCAAAAATAGTGAATTCTGTTTAATAAATCTGGAAATTTATTACTCATTATCTTAATCTAACCTCCTCCAGAGAAAAATTATAATGTAATTTGAGCAAATGATGTATAAACCATTTTTAATTGTAATAGTAGTTTGGATTAATGAGAGCATCTATAAAGAATCTATCAATAGCTGATACAAGGAACAGCCATACCCCTCAGGCTGAGGCAGTGCACCCAAGGGCAGAATAGACCTGTGAGAGAGCTCCATCTCTCCTAGTTGGTCATTTCTACACTATCTCCAGCAGAAATTCTGTGGTTTCCAGCATAAACACTACAACCCTTCTTTTTCTGATGGAACACAACTGTACTCTTCTTTATAAGTTCATTAATCATCTTACTAGAAATATGAAGATTAGAAAATTTACTGACCAGTCTACCTGTAATCATATATCATCTATCTGGCAAAATTCTGCAAGACTACTTTTTGATAGACCATCTACATGTTACCTTCCTATTTTCTTCTAAATGTTTGTTTCAGGAGTTAGTAAATAAAGCTCAAGAAGAAGTAACCAAGCAAAAAGAAGTGATCATGGCCCAGGACAGTGTTATTAAAGCAAAATATGCAGAAGTGGCAAAACATAAAGAACAAAACAATGATTCTCAACTTAAAATTAAGGAATTAGAGCACAACATCAGCAAACATAAACGGGAAGCTGAAGATGCTGCTGCGAAGGCACGTTTGTTTTCTTCATTTTCACCCTTACTAGTCAAATTTTCGTTATCAGTTCTTAAAATACTCTGGTAAGCTGTTCAGCAAAGTACTCGGTGTAAATACTGTGAAACATCATTTTGAGAGTGGGAATGGCTTCCAGCTATCTTTAACTGCTTTGTAGCACAAATGTTTTAAATTATACTTACATTTCAACATCATCTGTCCCCGTATATGAGGCCTATTTACCAAACACCTAAGAGATCTATGGAAAATAATTGCTTTTTATCTCCAAATAATCATAATTCTATTATATTCATAGGCTTGATTGCTATTAGTAATACTAACCACTTCCTTTCAAATTGAATTTGAAGAATTCAGTCATAAATACATGCAGTCAATTTCATTAGCTTCTTGATATTATTTGGGGTCATTACTAAAAGTTTTTGTAGCTTCATATGAAATCTGATCTTTTTAACAACGCTTTATCTTTTTTCCTTTTTTTTTTGTCACTCTTAAAATTTCTTTTCATGTATCATTGTATATTTTCTTAAGTTTTAAAGAGAACACATGCTTTTGCCAGAAGTGTGTTTCTTACTTGACAAGCTGTGTCCATATTGTTAGGTGGCATCAGATCTAGATGGACTCAGAATGACCATATAAACAGCAGACCAAAATCTTGCTCTATCCTATACCATCCTCACATTCTCCCTTGGTCTCTGTTGCATTCACTCTCAATCTTTCCTGTTGTCGGTTCGGGCTTGAACCAGTGCCCTCTTAGTCTCTATACTGACATGCTTCCTCATTAGCACTTTACAGAGCTCCATGACAACACATTTTCTCAGTGCAGCATTTTGATTTCTAGGCAGGCTGCCTCCTTGGGTGTTAGGTATAAGATAAAATCCTCATCAACTTAAGTCTTCTCTCATTCTGTTATAAGGTTGCCTGTTGTTCAGTGGTGATGATTTTTGTTTTCTTGATGTTGAGATAATATAAGCTATGTAGAAGGTAGAAGCCTCTGACCGTCTGCAGTATGTGCTTTAAGTCTTCACTTTTCACAGGCAGTATTATGCCATCTGCGTAACATAGATTGTTGTTGAAACAACCCTCAATTCTAGTACTACGTTCTTAGTATAGTCCAGTTTCTCAGATTGTTTGCTCAGCATACAGGTTAGGTATGGTGAAAGGATATAACTCCAGATAGTGTTTTTAAGTCTCAGAAGTTATAATGTATGCCTTTCACATTCTAGGTAAATTTAGTCCTGTTGTATGCTGTAAATAGAGCTGTTTTCATAGTCTCATTTTCAGACTGCTTACTACTGATGAACAGAAATACAACTAATTTCTGTGTTTTGACCTCATATCTTTGAGTTTTGCTTAATTTGCCTCATTAGTTCAAAGCTGGCTTAATAGGTTTATACTATAGGTAGTCATAGTTCTATTTTCTCATGTGTTCAGGTATCGAAAATGCTGAAAGAATATGACTGGATTAACTCCGAGAAACACCTCTTTGGCCAACCCAATAGTGCCTATGATTTTAAAACTAACAACCCAAAAGAAGCCGGCCAGCGACTTCAGAAGTTGGAAGAAATGAAGGAGAAACTGGGAAGAAATGTCAATATGAGAGCCATGAATGTACTGACAGAAGCTGAAGAGCGGGTGAGGCAGTTTCTCATCAATTTCTGGGCACTTTGGAACATAGGCAGCATTTATGATTCTAAATGACTCGAGCCGATTACAAGAGTCAGCTTGGTTAAAGTCTTTAATGCCTGTTTATAATTTCCTTGTCTTAATTTCATTGCTTCTCTTACTATTACTTTATTAGTATCATCAATTGTTTGGATATTTTGTTGTACCTTGAATTACTTTTGCACTTTGTTCTTCTAATTCTTGATACTTTTTAAAAAATTATTACATATATTGTTAAAACCTTTTGGACGTGTTTATTCCTTATATTTCTGTCATTTGTTTGCCTTGAAAGATCTTGGGAAAAAAGCTGTACAGCTGTACTCTTCTTACCATAAACTTGCAGTTTTCCTTTTATCTCTAGTTTGTACTAAGACTATTGTATGACTGAAACTATAAGTAGTTATAATCATAGTTTTACTAATTTACAAACATCTGTTTTAACAGTTCACACATACACCGTAATCTTTATTCATCTCTCCTGACAAAACTTGTTGTCTAAATAGATTGTAATGTCTTGCAGTGATGAGTTATGGAAGTCATACAACTAGAAAAATCCAGAAAAGAAAGCCATTCCCACCCTTAGACATTACCTAGGAAATAGCAGCCTTAGTCACTTTATATTGCTTTCCATAAATCTTCTTTAATTCTATTTGAATTTTTATATTAGAATAGAGCTAATGATGATACTTTTATAAGCTTTTTTTTTTATAAGCTTTTATGAAGTTTTACTGTAGTAGGCTTTTAAAATTGTCCTTCATTTTAGTAGCTACAAAGAATTTCTGTTAGGTACAAACCAAGTTTATGTCATTATTGTAGTCTCTGTAATGTACTTTTCCTGGTCTTCATTTCTGTATTAGAACTGCATTATATGTAGTATTTGCGGAAAACAAATCTTTTTTTATAAATTTGAGATCTAAGAAATAGAAGTTTTCATGAGCTTGTCCATAAAGCAGAGAGAGAGTAGAACTAGCAGGAGTTTTTTAAGGGGAAATGCAGAATTTCCTTAAAATAATGAGGGTTTGAGGGGAAATAGAGTTTTTTTAGAAAGTGTGTTACTCTTGGCCTCCCTTAGGAAATCAATCAGTGAATCTCTGCTGACAGAAGGCTAGTCTAAACATATGATGTTTGGACTAAGACTTGGATGATAGCAGTACCAGTTCCATCAGATGTGGAGGGTAGGGTATTCTGGGGAGAGAGAAAAGTGTATAGATTCATAATAGAATCTGTTTATTTAGGTAAAAGACAAAATATATATAGAGAGAGAGAGAGCCAGGAGCCTGGAAAGAGAGATAAAAAGATCAAATCAAGTAGGATCTTGTACTTCATGGTGACTTTGATGAGAGCAAAGCTTCAAAAGAGAACAAGATTACCTTTTATTTTTTTTTTTTTAATTTTTTATTTTATATTGGTTTGCTTACAGAGTTTGTATACAAATATTTCATACAGTCATTCTAATTCATTATCTTATAAATTAATCAGCATTGAGCTATGCCCACCATTGCCCTGTCTTTCCAGATACCCACTGAATCTTTCCCATTTTCCTTATCTTTAAGAGAGCAAGGTTACTTTTACGAATTTCTATAGATATGTTTTCCTTTTTTGCTTTGGCTACTAGGAAGCTAAGAATAAAGAAAGAATTACAGTAATTTTAGGACTTAATATATTTATTGAGTTTAATATACAAAGTGATGATCTTGACAGTTTTTGTTTGCTTTTAAGTCTTAGGGTTTTATATCTTTTGGGTATTTAGTACACAATTTGTATTGATTATAAAGATAATGAAAACTCAAATACGAAGACTCAGACTAAAATATAATGAAAACTTACGTGTGTTTCTCATCTTAATAGTATAATGATTTGATGAAGAAGAAAAGAATTGTAGAGAATGACAAATCCAAAATCCTTGCAACTATAGAAGATCTTGACCAGAAGAAAAACCAAGCCCTAAATATTGCTTGGCAAAAGGTATTGGAACCCTTAAATGGCTTCTCCCCCAACACCCCCGTAGGAAATCTCTATAACAGTTGATAATGATATTGTAGTCCTGAGAACCATAGGCAACACATAGAATGACTAGAATTTCCCAAGGGGACATGGTTTGCCAACAGTTTGCCAGCCTTTGAGAATGGAATGCCATTATAGACAACAAAATAATCTGCTGAGTTGCATGTGCATTTTCACTATTTGATTGATCTTGAACATTTTGTGATATTTTGATGTCATTCATCCAGGTGAACAAAGATTTTGGGTCTATTTTTTCTACTCTTTTGCCTGGTGCTAATGCTATGCTTGCACCACCAGAGGGGCAAACAGTTTTGGATGGTCTAGAGTTCAAAGTTGCCTTAGGAAATACCTGGAAGGAAAATCTCACTGAACTTAGTGGTGGTCAGAGGTGAGTAATCTCTTTTGTTCAACCAGCCTATTTATTGTAAGCCAAAACCTTTTTCCTTCCCAATTTTACTCACATTTTTCCTTGCTTAGCTACCTTTGCACTTAGAATTTGAGTTCTGGTGGTAATAAGATATTGAGGAGTTACATTCATTGGTTTCAGTTATTTAACAGAAACTGTGACCGTGATGCAAGAAATGACACCTATTAAAAATCGTTCAAGTGGAACTTTGAGAGGTAGAAAATAAACGTAAATGAAAAGTTCACTGCATGAAATTAACAGCAGTTTAGGCACTCTCAGAGAATGAGTGAATTTGGTACTGAGAATTTTAGAACTAGTCATCTATACTAAGACATAAATGAACCGAGAATTAGTTTCCTTTCGAACACTATCAAGAACTCTAACATACATATAATTTGAGTTTGAGAAAATAGTGTAGAAAAAAATACTTGAATGAACCAAATTTTCTAGATTTGATGATGCTGTAAGCTACAAGCATTCTCTATAACCTGATCAGGATAAGCAATGACATATCAAAACATCTTATTAAATGGTTGGAAATAAGAAAGAGAATATCTTTTTTTTATATTAAATTAAAATATAATTCAAACACATTGTCATTGTATTAATACATCTTCCTTGTATGGATAGTATGCTATCATTGTTAACATTGTGCTATTTCAGATAGCTTTTGAAATGCTTTTTTAAATGATGAAAGTAACACCATTCCTCCTCAATTTTCCATTCTTTTTTTTTTATATAATTTAGTTTGTTTATTTTTCATTTCAATGAACATCTACAGAGATTTTGGAATTCCATTCATTCATTGTTGCACCCTTCTCCCTGCGTGCGCACGCGCGCGCGCGCACACACGGTTTGCTCCTCTCCTTGAAAAGCAAAAGAAAAAACTCCCTCATTGGTACACAATCCCCCC